ATAACTGTTAATTTTACCCAACTGTGCTATATCAAAGCTACAGGCAAGCTTTGCATTGTGGGATTTGTCTAGTAAAATGCAAAAGGACTCACTGGCACACTAAAGAAGATTGAGTGCAACTTTGCATGTTTTTACTTTCAGAAATAAAATGACAGATTTCAAAGATATTTTACAGGACTGCTTAAAAACCTGAAACAAAAGAGGAAATGGCTTTAAGCATTTCCAAAATTGTCGATGATGCGCATGAAATTGGAAATAAAATTGTTTGGATATTCCACATCTCTTTACTCAGAGTAATGTGTGAAGTGCAGCTTTCAATCTTTCCGCTACACCTTATTTAGCATCTGGTCTTGTGCAGGTGTCTTCTAGTCTTTCATTAATAAGCCCTCTGATGTTCCCAAACTGACTCTTCATCCTGATCGGCCACTTCATGTAAAGTGTAATTTCTCTTCAACTTATATGCGAACAGCTCCCATTGTGATGGACAAATATAAATACTACATCTTACTCTCTTTAATTTGCGCAATGGAATTGCAAAAAATTTAAGTTCCTTGATATGTTTTCAGAAAAGGGGGAGAGGTCTTTGAACTGACACAAATACAGGGAGGCGTGGCCGGCCAGGGGGTGGGGTAGTGGGGTTTCGTTGTTCCGGATCAGGGGAGATGCACAGCGTTTCCAAACCCTACTGCAGGCAGGGCCATGCGGTTGTTGTCCCCTGGAGAACACTCCACCCCCCAACAACTGCTTTCTTTGGGCGATTGCTCCACAGTATTGAGTATGTAAGTTGCTTTGGATTAAGAGCAGTCTGACCAATTGACAGTTTAGTGTAATGTCTTCTGATTCAGCAAATACACTTTTTTCTGAACTTCTGACGGCTCAGTTCATCCAAAAATGATGATGGTTTTTGAAAGTCACATTGACCTTTCGATGATAATCTGTGAATTAAAGGAAACCAGATTATTCTTTTGGGGGCATTGTGCCCTTTCGCCTGTGATGTGTTGGTCTATATAGGTTTGTGGTGGAGGGGTAAAAATGGTCTGCCACGAGGTAAATCACTGTGTTGCTTCGTAGATTACATAATAAGAATAAATACAAGGGCACAAAAGGCTTTGGACAGACCAATAAAAGCGGCATACAAAATAGGTAGAGCGTACTGTAGGTCAGACTGACTCGAAAGCGAGGGAAAAGAGGTGGTTCTTTAGGCAGGACTTAAAAGTTTGAAGAGTGGGCGACAATTTGACATGGGGGGGCAGGTCGTTCCAGAGCCTGGGGGCTACCGCTGAGAAGGCTCGGTCTCCTGGTCTTTTTCTTGGTTTTAGGGACTACTAGCAGCAGCTGATCAGCTGACCTCAAAGCCCTTGAGGGGGTGTACACCTTTAGGAGGTTGGAGATGTACAGAGGGGCCAGCCCATTAAGCGATTTAAAAACAAAAAATAAAATCTTAAAATGAACTCTAAAATGGACAGAAAGCCAGTGGAGGGAAGCCAGAATAGGTGTGAATATGTGTTCATGCTTGCGTGTTCCTGTAAACAGCCAAGCCGCAGCATTTTGTAACAGCTGCAGGTGTGCCATCAAGGACTTGTTTAGGCCGGCATAAAGTGCTTTACAGTAATCTAGACGAGTAGAAACAAAGGCATGAATAACACGCTCAAAGTCTAAAAAGGGTAAAACCGGTTTAATTTTGGACAGGAGCCTCAAGTGATAAAGTAACAAGTAACTACATCTGTCAGATAAATGCAGTGAAACCAGAAGATCAAAACGGTTATTCTGAGAGTGCATATGTGAACCAGTGTTTTAAATGCAAATTGCCTTCAAGAGATAGAGTTTCTAGAACGAAGAACAGATGTGATCACACTTCAAGCTCCCAAAAACTTTATTTGTCCAATTTGTTGTTTTAACAATTCCCTCAGTGGGCTCATGCTGCAACAGAAATACATTATCCATCAACCTACAATCCTGAAACCAATTGCCCATGAAACAACTTCAGCCCAGGATCCTGTATTTTGTCGAACAGAGGAGAGGTGGGAGGTCTTTAAAACGGCTGTATGTCAGCTGCGACAGTTAGTCTCGGTTTGAACTCACCCTAGGAGGAGCACATCAGGCAATGCCTTTAAGAACATCGACACATGACGAAGTGTCAAGTTTATTTTACAGAAAATTATTTTCTCCGGAGTGGAACTGAATATATGAAAAGGATCTCTTTGCTTCAATGTGTGTGACAGAGGAGTCTGGTGTTTTCCATTGTCAAACACGTACCAGATGACCATCCTCGTGTCAACCCTGATTCAGAGCAAAGTTAAGGTAGGTGAGAACCTTTCTATAATCACTGCTGCTTATTATTCACGCAAAGTCAATGCAGGGAGAGAATAGCGCAGGCTTGTGCATGTCTGTGAATTAAGTTTTTGCTTTATTTACTGATCTAAATACAATGATCATGAACAGCATAGAGAATGCAAATCATGTGACAGGTGACATTTCCATCATGTGGTCCTGCATTTCCTTCACACCAATCACATTAATAGTTTTATTAGATTACATTGATTTAATTATCATTAACCATCAATAGGGTTTCCAATAACAGACAAAGACTGGCATGATAGTCCTTCAGTTTAAAACATAGCATCTTATTTTCCTGCGAGAATCACTATTTTGTGTTCTTTCAGATGCCACTTTACCAGATTATTTTTCATTGGCTGTAATAGTATAAAACCATAACGGCACACATTGTCTTTTGCTTTCCTTTGAGTCCTGGCAATGGATTGAATTGCATGCACGCTCAGTTCATTTTGTATTCGGAGCAAACTATAACATAAAATCACAAAACATCATCCTTGCAGAAACTATTAAATGTTTATGTTGATTCATTTACAAATCTAAACAAAAGTGTACGGTTCAGCATTGTATAAGTAACCAAAAAAAAAAAGAATGAAAGGAAAACTTATCGTCTCTTGTAGCCTTTAAATAATTGTCTTTTGTTTCCTAATACATCGCAGAAGTTGATCAAACAACAAATAAAAGTTGTTTAATTTAGTGCTCCCCTGGCATCTGTCCTGACTGTTTGTTGCAGAAGCTACACTAAATCGATTCAGAGAGATCATTATCAAGGAATATCTTTCGTTGCAGACATTTTGCCAACGGTGTGAGAAACATTTTCTTGTCACCATGCTTTAATCCTCAGTAAAATAATTAAGTCCATCTGGAGCCCATTTTACTGGTCAAGCTGCCAAAAAGTGCTTGGTAGCAGGCATCCTCAGCTCCAGGAGGAGTGTTGCTCTCCTGCTAAGCATCCAAGGGTAGAGGGCACTGTTTGACCATAACTGAAACTTATCTAACACAGACTAGGTTCCTTTCAGGTCACTCACAGTTAAACATCACCGTTAGCGTTGCAATGAAGAGGCGCTGCTCATATTGCCGAAACCTAACCCAAGTTCAGGCGTGGAAAGAAAGTGTTATTGTTACTGTAACTGAGCAGCTTTTCTTTTGCACTTTCCACACATTGTTAAGTACATTTTGGATTGAACGGTAGGCATTGCTTGGATGCTCACAGTTTAAGTGTTTTGGCACCACTCGGGGTAAATTCCATTTAGGTTTGCTTGTAAAATCATTTATAAGACAGCCGTTTGAGAAAATAAATCATCACGGTTTGGGAGGGAAAACAGAATCAGAGAGAGACTACCATGTGGAGTGCACTCATGTTGAAATGGTTAAGGTCAGGATGTCTCATTGGCTCTAATTGCCATGTTTGAACTGTTGGTTGAGAACATTCCTCCTTTTTCAATTTCAGCATGCATAATCTACTTACATAATCGAGTCATTTTCTTTTTCATTTGAATGTGTTTACTTTCCAGCTGAGTGAATTTGAAAGTGTGTGTGTCAGCCAACCCCTCAAAGGGAAGATAGTATGTGATTGACATTAAGATAATTCATTAGTTGTGTTGGTTGCAGGTAAAGTGTCTGTGTGTACTGATCTTCCTGAGCTTCCCTCTGACTATGGCTGAAGTCCCTGGTCCATGCAGACACTCGATTACGAGGGAACACCTGCTGACAGTCAGGCATCTGGTAGGTGTTGAAAAACGATTAGAAACACATTGGTTGAACCAGCATCAGAAACAATGTGGCTCTACTTGAACTGGGCTGAGATCTACCTGTTTTTATTCATGCAGATGGATAACCAGTTAAGAAGTGGATGCACGATATCCTACACATTCATAGAACAGAGAAGTTTGGTAAGGTAACATTTGTTTTATGGGACTGTTTTCCTTCCAATTCCTGTGATTCACCTTTCAACTATCTAACTTTTCCATTAAAATTCATGTTCAAGTTTATTACCTTGTTTTTCTGATTTCCCACAGAGTAAATGTTGCTTTGTAAAAGCTGCTTTACCCTGGATCTTTGAGCTCCTCACCACCCACTTCAAATACAGTCGGGGTTCAGTCAACGATGGCTATGTTCAGTCCCTGAGAGCGCTCATCCTCAACATCTACTCTCAGAAATGTGTGCCTCAGATTAATGAGGAGATTGAGGTGAGTGTGTGTTCCTGTGTGCACCCTGTTTAGGACTGAATGATTCAATGTTCTATAATACAAAACATGTAGAAGATATATGTGATGTGAGAAACTGCCCAGCGCCAGGAGATAAATCTGCAATACTTGTGAAAACATTTAAAGTATTTTTCTCGGTATGTGCCGCAGGATAAGCCAGAGAGTTTTGAGATGCTCTACAGAGGGTCTACTTCAGAGGCTCTGCAGAAGGCTGCAGAGGTGCTGTCTGTTTACTGGGAACTGGTGACAACGAGCGATGCACCAGTAGACTGGAGATGCCAGCATGAATACACAGAAATGTTTGACTCTACCACAACGCTATACACAGAGTCACCTACAGAATATTTTACAGGTAGGAATCTCTTCTGCTAATATGCTGTGATGAGGAGGTGTGGAGCCGGTGAGATCATAAAATACATGTCTTTTTCTACAGAAAATTATGGTAGGATCTCGGTGAAGGGCTCACCGAGAAGAGTAGACAAAGACCTGTACAAGCTTGGCTTCATCATCGTCTCTATCTGCGGAGGACTGCTGTTCATACTCACTCTCTATTGTCTCATCACCAAAAAGGTACCAGCGCTTCTGTTTTGATTGATTTCTAAATTGTGCATTTCCTGATTTAATATACCATGCATTCTGATCATATTGCTTTAAAGAGGCCTTGGCAGTCTGCCTGTGCTCTCTTGGCACTCCCTCTTGCAGAAGTACCAATTCTCCCTCACAGAAAATACTGAGCATAACAACAAAAGGTGGAGACTGGACCAACTGGTGATAGCAGAAGTCTTATTTGCACAAAAGTGTGCAAAAACAATTGAATGCATTCATTTATTGTTCTCTTATTTTGGACAATATGGCACCATTAGTTTTTATTTCCTATTGTTTTATTTCATCAGTGTTTTTAACGGGCTGAGGCTCAGATTCTACGTGTACGTCTTCATTAAGCAGGTACATACTTTAGTATTAAAAAAATTCTAAATCCTTTGACAAAATGAATACTAAAACACCCACAATGGTTGTATGTATACCCTACCAAAATCAGGAACACACAACAAAAGCTCAGCAACCATTAAATGAAACGGACAAGCTGCAGGTAAATCCTGGTGGAAAAGCGATCCCTGGAAAGCAATAATATGTTTATAAGCCTGTTTGTGGGTTAAACATAAGAAAAAAGCAGAAACATCTCTTTGTCAACGTGGCATTCTTTATAGAAGTGTCTATAAAGTCTGGGGTATTCTTCGTCAACGCTAAACAAGGTCCTAACCAACCAAAACATCGTGAAATCTTTGGGAAATCTGGGAATAATCTTGTCTTTACCATCTGAGCCGTCCCCTCGCTGGTAAAAAGCTAAGTATAACAAAGTGGAGGCTTGACTCACTCTAGATATCAGAATCACTCTTTCGTGCTCTTTCTCCTATATGCAACTATTTGTCGTCGTCAGTTGAATATTTCACCAATTTCAATTCAGTAAAAGCCCTTAAACAGTACCAGCTAGATTGAAGTGCTTGTGAAAAGTACAGTGTTTTTATCGACATTCCGGGATTGGTTTTCTTTTGAAATTGGCAAGAAGTATTTGGTAATGGTAAACAGAATTGCTCTATGTTTGTGTTCTTTTTACTTTGGAAAGTTAGATGAGCTACATTTGACTTCACATCCTTCATTTCCATTTTATTGATCTTTGTGGTCGAGAATTTGGACTCTACATCTCATCCAGGTATATATTTAGTAAACATTTGGCAACCAAGTGAAGTGCTTTGGGACTAACTCTGATTCTTAGTCCATAGAACTGATATTGCAGGAATATTGCTGATACCTAAAATGCATGTGATGAATATGTTGGTATGTGGGACATAACTTTAGTACCTGCTATTCAAACTACAGTGTCCCTTTTAAACATGTTGTATACCTGTGGTGTTTATTTTTATTATTTTATTATCTTTGCTTTGTAATGCCTGTTGTAAAATGCCATTATATAATGTGTTTTTACTGTATTTATTCCTAAAAAGTATTTTAATTTGTTTTGTAAAGCACTTTTAATTGTCACATACAGAAAAGTGCTACATAAATAAACATGCCTTGCCTTGCACAATTTAGTTTAGTCCAAAGTTTAATTACATTACNAAGAGTCGACGCTTTCCTTCCAGACATATCACACCATCACACACTACCATACTTGTCACCTTTTCATCACTAAAAGTGAATAATATCATGCGTGCCGCAGGAAATAGAGCAAAAGCTATCCAGTAAACGACATTAAGGGAGGCTGAATTTTCAGTGATCCCGGCTTGACGAAACAAGAGATGCGGCAGCAGCGAGCCAGCCTACTGCTGTGTGCCGATATGTTGCTGGGGGGGAGTGCTGGCAAGAACATTTACGCTATGGTAGATTTGAAGGGTTTTGACGCGGAGTCCATTACACTGGGCCCATTGAACAACCAGCTTAAGGTTGAATGCATAGAGCCATGTGAAGGTGGTTGGCACCAGGCTTATGATGCGCCCCCCCAGCGTCATGGAGTGCGGCGTTGGAGGCGGCCAAGAAAAAGGTTCCGAGAGAACCATCCCCATGGCCATTTATGGCAGCGGCCTATGACATCAATTAAATTTAGTGCCTCTGTTTCGCACATGTCTGGCCATACCAGAGCCCCGGAAGTTATTTGACCTCCTGCAGAATGTCTAAAGTACACTTTCTTTCTGGAATCCCCTTGTGAACCATGACAACGTTTAAAGAGACTCAGAAAAAAGCTGGCTTACAAGCTTCTAGCCTACACGCTGTCCCAAGACGGCCGATGGCTGCCCAAGATGAGGTCATCCAACGCTATGATAGAGAATTCCCAAGCAGTTCTCACCCAGTGCCTGTCCAATATCAGCAACCCCTACACACGGCTTGTGGTCTGCAGCGCAACCTTGCAAGGTTCCCCCACAGTTATCACCTGAGCGCCTGATTCAAGACTTTTGTCGTGAACAGAAAGCACACAAATACCACAAAGTGAAACTGTGGCCTGGCAAAAAAAGCTGAGAGTTCAAAATGCGCCTGTGTGCCGCCAACCTACAAGAAAAGCGCACTGATGACCAAAGCAGCGAGGTTTATGACCGCGCAAGGTTTGTGCGCCACCATACGGAGTCATCGGTGCTGTACCAAGACAAGGCATAAGGCCAGAGCGCACGGCATGGAGGAGATCCGTAGCTCGAGTCTAATTGGGGCCGCACGAGCGTGACTAGGAACTGGCGGAGAAGTTGAGCACCGCAATTTTTTGTTTTAGTCTACCCTGGCCTTCCGACCAGGATGGCTTGCTGAGATGGAGCACGCGGTTTTCATCTCTCCACGCAGCCACCAGTTTAAAAGAGTGCAGCGTAATATCCAAGGATCTAGCAACTTTTCTGTGCAGGAGGACCTCAGAGGTCGGCGCAGCAGTCCATTATACCAATCGCGTGGATCTAAAGCCAAGAGGAAGGCTGCGTGGCAAAAATATCCTGGCCAGAAAGCCAGGAAAGCCTTCCAAATCTACTGACCGACATGCAATTCTTTTCAGTTTGCGATCATGTCATAGTTCCCAACATTGAACACAGTGTCATTCCAGATAACCTCTGACCATTCCAGTGTCCAGCGCACTTGTGAACGTACCATCAGCGGCTGAGACGCCCCCACACCGTGGTTACATCAACGCATGGGCAACGAACACGACCTCCACCATCTTGGCATCCATCAGCTGTGGAGAGAGGACCACTACCAAGTTTAAGCCACGTCAATTGATTGATAGCTTGGCAAAACTGAAACGCGAGAACGTTACAGGTTACTGCCTTAAAACAAAATTAACAGTAGACGCCCTCTCCATCCTCTCTACCATGTACAGCACCTCATAAACAAGGATGAGGTCACCATCACAGCCATCATCAGGATGGGGGGGGTCTCTTCAGTTTCAGTTTCAGAGTCCCATGTTGCCTGACAGATATTTCATGAACGATTACATTGGTGGCCTCTTTGGCCTCCATCAGTTAGTGATTTAGATGATACTTGTATACAGTAACCCGTTCACAAGTAGCGCCCAAAAATTCAGGTGTGGTCAGGAGGCTCAATAATTTTACATGATGCAGAAAAAACGAACTGATTGTACATTTATTTATGACCACTTTATATCGAGAGAGTAAGATAAGCTCAAAAAAATTGGTTGCTCGCGTGCTTGGCCATAATATCTGTGCCGGCATGCTTTTTTTCAAAGAAATAACTGCAAAACATTTTTTTTTTCTGTGCCCCTGTTGTGCCCCTGTATAGTATTGGGTCAGCTGACGCCCCTGTTCCTGCCTGGAAAGTCTCACAGGACAGCCAGAACATGCAGCCTCCCTTCATATGTCTCTCTTGTGTCTTTCAGAGTTCTCCCTGAGCAGTTTCTGCAATACCATCGACATGACAAACTTCTCCAGTTTGAGAATGCTGCGATTGGATGCCAATGAGATCAGTGCCAAAGACATTCCTGCCGAGGCGCCCTACTGTTTGCGGCACGTTGGCTTTATTGAGGTTTAGCTCTTCCTGCGCTCTCTCTCTGATATCTCTTAACTCATCCGATGTCTTACTTCATCTGTTATCTCCCTCCAATCTCTCTTCACCTGTCACTTTATTCAGCGTCAAAACGTATTTAAGACAATGCAGTGTTATAAAAGCCGTTTTCACAATCATAAACCCTTAACACAATTCCAGTATTAGTCAACGGGAAATACCAGAGCTGTATAATCACCTCTCCAGATGACAGGCATATGTATCACAAATACAACATATCCAAAGGCCAGATGACTGGTGACTCTCCTCACACTGTTATATTATCAGATCCGGTATTCTGGCAAAAATAATAAGATCATCATAATAACCATGGAGGTTCTGCTTGTTGTCTGGAAACATATCACCTGTATAAAGCATCCTGTCATCAGCTAGTGATTCAGTTTGGACCTTTGCCTCCACCATGTGGCACAAGGTGATAAAGCTGTAGATTAGGCAGCCAAGATTGTCATAATTAATAACTTTATTTGGCAAGGTCACATTTACTAATTAAAATGACAATGCCTTTTATAGTAAACAGTTTGAGTCTGTTTTCCACTGTTCGTCTGTTTCGATATTTTCATAATCAGCATTACAAGTTGTGTAACGTGTTTATGTCTACAGGTTAAACATGTGTATTACTCCTACAATGAGCCTCTGAATTATTCAAAGACAATTATGTATATTTCTATAATAGCTGCATCCTATGCTGTTGGGTTATTTAAGCTGTTTTGGTTACCTAAACACTGGCTTTTAAAAATATTTATTGGGTGGTAATTTCTGAGCCAATGTGTACTTTAGCTAATGTCGGGATTTACAACATGAGAATTTGATGCAATTCAGTTTATATCCACTTAGCAAGAAAGTTATGAATCATATCCTTTGTGTGTCATTTAACTGTATGTTGTTACCGACCACTTTATACTTATTATTAAATCTTAGGAAAAAAAAAATGTCTTCAGATTTTATTTGCCCTTTACTGTGATTTATTTGTAGCTGTAAAAAGTTATGTTTCCGCTAATTTAAAACGTAAAAGAAGCAAAGAGATTGGGGGAGAGAAAAAGGGCGGCAGCTCTTTTGACAACTTTAACTGGTCCAAGGCAGTTCCCACATATGTTTTGTTGAAGACAACTTTCCTTTTCATTTTTGCACAGCTGCCTTTAATACTCTTCAGAAAGGCACTAAATTGAATTATAAAAATATTTTCCTTGTTTTGTCATGGGGCAAAGTCTCGTGACGAAGAATGGATTACTGCTGGATTGAGTTGTACACACTGATAAGCGGTAGCCTGTGAAATGAAGTGTGTTAGGGAAGATGATATATTGCTGGCTGTAGACGGTTTTGCAGCGGCTGTGGGGTAGAACTGTGTTGTTTTTTCCTTCCTACACAGATTCTTCCAAAACAAAAAATACAGACCAGTACACATGCACATAATCACATGGTAATCTTTTACTGGTGTGGTCCTCTCCGAGACGAATACATTTCATTGCGAACTCAGACGTTATGCAAGTTATGATTATAAAACAGGGCAGGACCATCTTTGAGTAAACATGAGTGAAAGTCATGACTACAGGAGGGAATGTACATGCACTGCCCTCCCTCCCTCCCTCCCTCTCTCTCTCTCTCCATGTGTTTCTTTCTGTCTCAAATGTCTTTATTGACCATATTGCAACACAGTTGAACATTGTAAAAAATGTTATAGCAGTGTTTTTCTTTCGGTCCATCCCACAATCTTTCTCAGTATTAACCTATTATGTGCCACTACCATGCAGTATTGATAAAATGTCATGCATGCATATGAGTAATGGATAGTAGCACATTATTCCCGCCAACTCCTGATGTCACGCCCTGTGCAGTGAAGACATGTCCTGTGTAGCTGCAGCAGCGACTGGTGTGTATCTCAACCTCTCTGCCAGTAACAACAGCTCTATGTGTTTGATCATTAACAGAATATTCTCCATAGGACTCTTTGAAACCACACTGTTTTGTTATTTTTGGCCACAAGTTTTATAAGTTGGAAGGACTGTGTGTTGATCAACAATATAGGCTGATAATGAGGTGAACTAGACAAAGCACTGGCAAGACCCTTTGACATTGATGAAAAACATGTTTGACTCCCCATAAAGCGAGTCAAACTCAATATAGGCCAATATCACACTTAACAATTGATTTCCTGGTGCTCCTATGAATGCACTTTTAACTACAACATGTGAGAGCATTATATGTTGTATTTTGTATTGATGGAACCTTTATTATCAATATTGTAATTGTATTGTCAAACTCATAAATAATTTGTGGAAATATTTGGAAAACAACAATACAAACAGTTGGTTAAGTTGTAGCAAATGGAGACACAATATTCAACATATATAACTAGTGTAAAAATAAAACTTTTTTAGTGAAAAGATATCTGCAAATACTTAATGCATAAACACAATATACATAACATATTATTCCAAATAAGGCCCATCTTTGCTCTAAGTCAAAGCCAAGCTTCTGATTAAATAACTGAGCATGATACATTACACACAAAATACTGATATTAAAAAGTGTTCAGACGGACGAAATGTGCAGCTTCACGAGTGCTCCTTCTGCAGCTGCAGCGATGTGTTCTTTGCTGCCTGTGGAAAGAGTAAAATAAGAATGAAAAAGAGGGATGTGCACTGCAGTAATATTTAAAACTATGGCTGACACAGGTGTTTGTGTAAGACGTTAATCATGATCCAGCTCCCGCCGTTTAACTCTCAGAAACCCTTTGAGGTAGGTGATACTCACATTATTGTTGCTCCATCTCTATCTCCTGATGGTCTCTGCTTCAATCCAGATGACAAAGGAATGCATAAGGATTAGTGCAAAAAAAAGACAGATGAGTTTGAATTCCCATGTTAATTGTGTTCTTACCTTGAATGTGTATACGATCTTGATCTGTGAGGGTTTTGAGTTCTCTGTTTCGGAAAGAAAATACTTTATTAAATAATTCCAATTCCAAGGACAAATGATGAGTTACTTTAGAGCCATTCACAGAGTAACATTTGTTTTATATTGAAATAGGTTAACCATTTGCAAACAATACTCCTTAGTTCAGTGTGATGCAAATGATTGATAGAGTAATGGGTCAAAAATGATTAAGAGAATATAAAACAATATTATACATAAAATGACAGGGCAGTGAAAGGTTGTTCTGTGTGATGTAAAACCATTTCCATGGGTTATTCTATATTATTTTACCACCGTGAAAACGTGTTATTATTGAAATCCACTGCTGTAATTCCAAGCTGTTACACAGGCTCACATCTCCTTATCGCATCCTTGCTAACCTTTAGACCTCAGAAATCGGGAGCATTTCAAAATGCAAAATTGGTGCACTGCTAGTGGATCGCCGGAGCTGTTAGATTAACATTAACATGCTTATTGTAGTTGTAAGTGCACTGCCTTGCGGCCTGCAGCACCATCCTCTTGATGGAGCATATGTGTGGGGTTTTCTATGNAACTAAATTGTGCAAGGCAAGGCATGTTTATTTATGTAGCACTTTTCTGTATGTGACAATTAAAAGTGCTTTACAAAACAAATTAAAATACTTTTTAGGAATAATCCTAAAAAGTATTTTAATTTGTTTTGTAAAGCACTTTTAATTGTCACATACAGAAAAGTGCTACATAAATAAACATGCCTTGCCTTGCACAATTTAGTTTAGTCCAAAGTTTAATTACATTACACCAGAACTGAGGGAAGCATACATCCGGGACTCTCAGAATTAAATCACATTAGAGCTTCACAGTGGTGAGTTAATGGAAAACAAATGGCTCTATTTTTAGTCAGAAGCTTGTTTCTCAAACATGGGTTTTGATTATAGCTGAAATCCTACACATCTAGATATTTAGGAAGTACTGAAACACTTAGCAGTATTCAATAGACATAAAACTTAATGTGCACCACGTAACCTGCATTATGGGGCATTGGTGAAATGCTTTGTTTTGGACACCAAAGACCACAGAAAATGCTGCAGTTGATTCATTCAAATAAGGAAGGGGGAAGAGACATTCCCATCGTGAACTGATCCTGTTTTGTCCAGAGTGCAATCCAATTAATCCTTGAATTGCCAGGCTTGAAAGAGCAGGAAGGGTTGACTGTCATTTGAAGAATGTATTGCCAATATCCTTATTTAAGTGACTTCAATTAAGTGGCATATTACAGGTGGCAGAGAATGAGGGATGCCGCAGTGTATAAACATTCACAGAGAGTGATTGCAATAAAGTGCTGATATATTATTATTATTATTTACTGCTAGTAAATACTGCTATTATTTTTTGTCTTATTTCTTGTCTGAGCTGCTTTTTGTTTTCACGGAGTTGGTACATGCCAACTTCCTAAACTTCAAGCACTGCCCCCACTCTGACTTTAATTAACATCATCTGTGTGCTCAATGAGAATATGTGACAACAGATGGATGCAATGGCTTACACATTTTGTATGAGGAAGTTGGAAATTACAAATCACTTTGGCACAGATACATTTATGTCAAGATTGTTAGTGAAACTTGCAGTTTCTTGCATGTTCCAGTTGCTGTATTTGTTTTCCAAAGGTCAAATTAGGTCAGATGCCCGTAAACTTTTTTTAATGGTGTCTTACATGCAGCTATAGTGTTAAGATTATCAGAATTAACTGTGTAATTATTTTTGTTTGTCGATGGCCATCTGTGTTTTCCAATAATATGTGCAAGTAGTCCATTAAGTGGAACTAATGAGTGCTAAAGCAGATGTTAAGATGAGGCTGTATTGTAAATGTGGAACCAACATGAGCTTTGTGAGAAAGTGTATCAGTGAAACTTGGCTGTGAATTGTAAACCTTCTCTGATACATGCTAGCCCTGTCCACCTCCACACCTTCAGGCAATGTGGCAAATTGAAGCATTACTGGAAGCAAGCCTATAGCTGCATGAAGATCCACACAGGAGCCAAACATACGGCATGTTTTAACACTTGGAGAGAAACAAAGCGTATCTTTTAAAACACAATTTTCATCACTACTGCACAGTTTCGTCAAGGATCGTCATGACAGTGACACATGACCAGTGTTGGGCAAGTTACTTTTAAAAAGTAACTAGTAATAGTTATAGTTACTGCTCTCAAAAAAGTAACTAGTTACTTTATTAGTTACTAAATTATAAAAGTAACTAGTAACAAGTTACTTTACTTTAAAAATAATAACAATAAAAATACAACTTTTTGTGTTGTTCTGTGGCACAGTAAGAAAAAAGACAACTTCCCATCATTGTAGCAATTATCATTACGAAATGTAGTGGAAAAATACAACACAAAAGATATGTTTAGACATTGGTTGAGACGGTGGGGTCTTTGGCGACTAGTTTTATAGACCCATGTACATTAGTTAGGTGCTTCAGGATATTGGCATTGCTGTTATTCGATGTGGACAATGCTTTCTGTCCTGCACACAGTTTACATTTTTTGCCGTAAGCTTTTTTGCGTCCTTAACCCCACAAATTGAAAATAGTGGTTATATTTCCAAGTTGCAAATGCGCTGCTGCTCTCGCTGATACTTGCATCTGCCATTGTGTGTGTGTGTGCTGGTGGTGGGCGTTGCCGTGTGTGTGTGTGTGTGTTAGCATTAGCAAGTGTTCGTGTGTGTATTTTCCCCATAAGGCAAGACCCGCCCAACTCTGTCTCTGATTGGCTTACCCTGAAATGTTACCCCGCGTTAACCAATCATCACTCCTCTCTGGTTACTTTCACTTTTCCATGTTACTGTGAGAGGACATCGCTGTATTCGCCTGTAAGTTACATCCGCAGGGAGATTCGGTTCAGTTCCATCACATAATGTAACGCAGTAACGCACCCATTTAAATCACAGTAACTATAACGGCGTTACTTAATGGGAATAGGTAACTAGTAACGCTATTAGTTACTGCAAAAAGTAGTTGCGCGTTAGTCCCAACACTGGTGTTAACCAATGGAGGTCAATACCTAATGATAACCATTCAAGGTAAATTCCTAACCCAAACAAATGTACATCAGTGGCTCATCCTCACCATCAGAAGTGAATTCCTAAGCTTAACTAATTGAGGTCAATGCCTAACCTTACCTAATACCTACTCAAGGTCAATCCCTAACCTTAACCATTGGAGGTTACTTTAAGATTGGAAGTCAATGCCTAGCCTAAACCATTGGAAGTCAACGCCTAATTGTAACCATTGAAGGTCAATGGAGAATCTTAACCATTGGAGGCCTACCTAACCTTTACCATTTGAAGCCAGTGTCCACGCTTAACCGTTGGAAGGTCATTCATAATCTCAACAATTTGAGGTCAATAGCTAACCTAAACCATTGGACATAAGTGCCACATCTAATCTGGAATGGCAATTTTAATTGTTCCAATGTCCTATATCCTTTGCCATTACTTCACAGGTAGAATCGGTATGCTCGTCCTCCTGTGTCCTCGTCCTTTCCTGTCACCTGTGACCCCTTTTTTACACCCGGTGCAGCTAAACCCCACCACCAAGTGTTCAAAAATAATATTGCACTATACATATATAGATAAGGAAAACTGAGATACCAACAACACCCATAAAATGGCTCCTACATAATCTATGCATAAACTCTTTCGAGATATGCTGCGAATGAATGAAGGAATAACCTGACCCAAACCATTGGAGGGCAATTCCAAACATTTACCATTCGAAGTCCATGCCTCACCTTAACCATCTTGCGAGGGTTTTGCAAATAAAAGTTTTTTCTCCATATTGGCACAACCAACCCAGGATCCTTCATGATCCATTATGCANCATAAGTTCACATGGAAATGTAATAACAGAATAACAGATAATAATGTGGGTTTATGCCAGGGGCGTCAGCTGACCCAATACTATACAGGGGCACAACAGGGGCACAGAAAAAAAAAATGTTTTGCAGTTATTTCTTTGAAAAAAGCATGGGCACAGATAATTAATGCAAGCACGCGAGCAAACATTTTTTTGCACTTATTTATTATAAAAAAGTGTCATAAATAAATAGTACAATCAGATTGTTATTTTCTGCATCACTAAATATCTAGCCTACCTGAACCAAACTGAATTGAATTGGCCTACTTGTGAACTTAACTGGATACAGTATCTCTAAATCACTAACTGATGAAGGCAAAAGAGGCACAATGAATCTTCATGAAATATCTGTCAGCAAACATGGACTTGAAAACTGAAA